CTAAACTAAATGAAAATAATAATAATAATAATAATAATAATAGTAATAATAATAATAATAAAATAATACTTTTGGAGTGAGGTGTATATGTCGGTAGTCATATAATACAAAAGAATGATAATTGAACAAGTAAAACCAATAAGAGTCATGTGTAAGAAAGTACGCGTATGATTATTTAGTAATATAACTATCCATACACAGAGTTTTTTTTATAATGTACAAATCAGCTCGAATAGATTACGTATACATTAAATTATCGATTCAGTCATATATGTTATCGATTATGTATAATTTTATATGTTTAGATAGGTATTATCATTTCAATGTAAAGAGTGATATGAAATCATGTAATTTCTCAATGTAAAGAGATTAACAAAATATCCTATTTGCATATTTATATTTTCTATTATTTCTAATATAGAAATATACAAATATGGTTTTTTTGTTAAGTTTTTGTTCAAATATCATTAAGAATGTAAAGATTACATCGAGTCTATTATTATTTATACCATTGTACATGCTACAAATAATTTATTTCGAAAATTACGTCTATGTGTCTATGCCTGTTCTGCCGTCAATTTTATTAGAATTTGTATAACCAGCCAGTAAATTATAAGAAATTATTTCTAAGACTTCAAATTACTATTTAACACAAAAAGAAAACTTCAATTTTTGTTAAATTTCCAAAGTGTCCTTAATCCCTTAAGTCAACGCCGAAAGTATAATTGGATGCACACGATTGAATCGAATACAGAGCTTGAGCTTTTTTGGAAAAGCGCAAGAAGACAAAGGACAACGCGTTCGGCTTCGTCGACGCACGTTGCTAACTAATTCAGCATCGCCCGTTCTAAAACGAAAGCCCCTGATTCAAAGTTATCGATTGCGTCGTGGAAGGAAAGACGCCTTCCTTTCTCAACGTCGTCGTACGCCACTGCTTCTGCTCCTTTATCGTGAAATTGCCAGCCTTTTCCCGTTGCTTTTTCATCGCCGGGTAGTCCCTTCGGGGTGCATTGTCACTTCGTCGAGTGTACTTGCCTTTGCGGAGTCATTTGCGCACGTAGCTTCGGCGTTCGAGGGTCCACGAAGAAATGGCGTCTCTCGTGGATTTTGTCTAGCGACGAAAGAGTTTCGTTTCGGACATCAGCGTTCCGAGCACTCCTGTGCTTCAACTATTTATTACATAAATTAAATGACAATATGAAATTATTATGCAAGATGTCAAGCTAAGATGTATATTTATATTTAAATACACATCTGTATATCCCTATCTGTATATTTATATTTAAATGCTTTGGAAGTAAGGGCGCTATGATTTAATATTCCATATATATTATCAGTGTGACAAACGTATTAATCACAAACTTTTACAATAAAATTTACATTTAATGTTCGAAGCTTCTTCTGCTTCGATATATTTTCGAAGCGTTTTGTCGAAAATTAGTCATTTCGTTCCATACATTTTGTTAAGCTAGTTTCAATTCGTTCGTCGACTTGAATTATTGATAGCAGATCTTCTATCCTCAATGATAATAATTTCAATTTCTTCTTTGTTTACCGCCCTCTCAACTATCTTTATCCCGTATCCAGTAGTCATAACAATGTCGACGTTTTCCATTTCTCTCTTGTGCAATTCAATCATTCTAAACACTTCTTTATCGTTTTTTCATATCTAGGCGGAAAGAAGATAGAAACGTACATGAACAGTATTAATAGATGTAAAAAAAAAACGAAAAGTCTGAAAACAAAATAAATTAATTAATAAAAGAATCGGTTTTCATGAAGGGAGACAGAATTTTCTGCGCACCTTGCAGTTGCATTTAAATTTAAGATCGTGAAAATGAAGGGCAATCGTGGAGTATCTGTAAAAACACTAAAAATTTTAGTATCATAAGTCATAATACTCGATTACGAACAAAAATAAAACATAGTTGAAGTAATTATAATATATCTCGAAAAACCGTCATCTCTATCTTTCACTAGAATTTTTCGAAAAGACTATTAATATATCGATAAATGTACCTATTCTAAAAATTTGCATGGTTACGTATGCCGTCCTTCAACTGAAGAGAAGTCACGTAATCGCATAATAAGTACCTTCATGGTTCGAAATGAAAATAACCTCTTAGCACGTTGATCGCCGCGCGACCGTACCACAAATAACACAATCAATCCAGACCTAAAAATAAATTTCCACGTCGACATGATTTATGAATATTTACTAATTATTTGCTAAGAATATTCAAGATACAAAAGTGTTCAACGAATAATCATAAATAGACATGAACTTCTCAGTTTTTATTTAACTGAGTCAATTAGTCCGGTGTTGTAGAATTTTTATGGTTGCTGATTCACAGGGGTCTAGGTGGTGAAATGCTTAGTGCTTCTCTTAGTTTAGTTTCTTCTGGTTTAATTGAATTTACTATAGGTTTGTTTTCTTTTATCTTGTTTCGTTAATGTAGTTTGCTCATTCTGAATTCATTCAATGTAACGAGATCTGGCGTTCCATATAACGTAGGAAGCGACTAATATCGATTAGAAATATTGCAGCATTAGACGGTGTCATTAACCCGGCGTCGGTATGGTAGAGCACAACATACCGCACCAATTTTTAAATTGTCAATCTGCTTTGAACAAAATGACGATGATAGTAATGACAATAATGCATAACGCATATCCCTGTACTTTTTATAACATTATTGATGAATTAAAAATTTCCAAGTATCGTACTCGTATACTCTTTTCATATACTAATAACACTGTATTAATTTCCTACATCCTTAAATAATGTTGATAAGTTATTATGACTTTTGCTACCGTTTAACAAGTTTAGGACAATGATATCGAACTTCCGATATACGGCGACTCCGTAAATATTTCGACACTTAAAACGCAATAACTTTTTTAAACCTGGACTAAACGATTTGTTTTTTTTTTTCAATGATAGAGGAACTAGTGTACTAGACAATGACTAAACTACTTTGTTACAATTTTGCTATTACTTGGAATAATTAAATGAAATAAAAGACACTCGTTTATTAACTTTTTTATCTGAGTCTACAACGAAAATTTAAAAAATGCTTTTTGTAGATCTCGGTAAGTTATATGCATGTTGAAAAATTCAACAAAATCGGTTAACGCAAAGTCAAGTTATAAGTGTTAAAAGAGTGTAAAAACTGCAAATTTCTCACAATAATTGGTCAAAAGTGTTAAAAATTGGGAAAAACTGCGATTTTTGCGATCTTTAATTGTCAACTTAAAGGTCAACCGATTTCGGTGAAATTTTCAGCATGCATATAACTTACCGAGATCTACGAAACACATGTTTCAAATTTTCGTAATAGGCTGAGATAAAAAAGTTAAAAAAATGACAGTTTTTACTTTCTTTTTTTATTCTAAGCAATAGCAAGATTTGAAAAAAGCATTCCAGTTATGGTCTAGTAGACTGGTCCCTCTATCGTCTAAAAAGAATCAAGTCGTTTAGTCCACTTCTAAAAAATGTTATTGCGTTTTGGAAAGTGTCCGAACATTAACGGGAGTCACTGTAGCTGCATTGAAAGGTTAGAACTGTTCGAGGAGAATTGCTACCGACAATATTCTTTTCTTCGCCGTTTCTCACGTAGTTTCCTTGTCACGTGCACCAATACAAGCTTGATAGATTACGTGTTGCGTCATATTTCATGGCGTTGTAAAAGCAGGTTTTCAGTGTTCCTACGTTTGACGGCCAGCCACGGAGAAAGCGATTATACTCTGTTACAGGCGTCTATCATTAGCAACAAGTCGCGTAGTTCTGGTTTAGAAAAAGTCAATAGCACTAAAATGAATAATATCATTTATTGTATTATTACATCTGACGAATGTTCTAGCATTCAACTTTGAACAGTATTAATTTCTTCGACAAGAGCGAGTACATTTTATCGTTCTTCATAAACGTATTTTATGCTTGGACGCATAAACCTACAAACCGGATTTTTAAACTATAATTATTACACCGCGGATGTTTATGCTTTTGAAATTGTATGTAGAAATACGCAATTAGCATACTTTAAATATGAAAATGTATGCAACAGGTATTGCAACAGGTATGTTAAAAATATGTAACAGGAATGGCAACTTAATCGTTATCGAAAATGATTATAATTGAAATTACGCTGTAAAATGCGAGAACATTGTCTATGGTACCTGGAGATGGTTGATGACGTTTATCACTTTACATTAATTCATACGCAGAAAATGATCGTTCGCACGACGTCGACGTTATTGGAGTACAATTAACATCGACTCATTTAAATATACTGCAATGACGGTCTTCGATTTCTATTATCCCAGAATATATTGCGAAATTACATTCTATTTTCATAAGTATCTTTTCCTTAACGTTTCCATGTACACTTCCAAAATTTTCATCGATAGCGTTAAATAATAATTTGACGAAAACAATTAATGGCATTTCAATACGAGTGTCCATTGTGAACGACGCCAGTCATATTGAATTTAACGAGATTTTGATTTCGATCTTTGCAGGCTGATTAAAAAATTCAATACATAACATCGAATTTTCTATATATATATATATCGAAAATTCGATGTTATATATTGAATTATATATATATATACATACGATAAAAGTGTATGACGTAAGCAATGTATGTACTTATGCGTCGAAGAAAATATCTGCAAATACAATATGCAAAGTATTCAAAATAAATTTTGTTATTTAAAAGCATCTAACGACAAAAGAAATATTCTGTCCACAGCCCACTTGTATAAAACTCTGCATTTGCATAAATGTGTATCATTTAGTAATTATTTTTCAATTCGGACAGATTCTTACTTAATTGGTATAATTAACGAATTGAAGTGCTTGTTATTTTTTTATCCCCTGAGGCTTGACTTTATAGCTACAATAAAACATACGATAGCAAGACTTTTACCTTACAACTTACTAGCGGTTATTTCATAATTTAGGAAAAAAAAACACATAACTCATAGCTTATTAACCAGCATCATAAATTCTTTAGTAGCAATAACCATTTCAATTTTGAATAATCCAACCGCCGTCTTAACGTAATCTATATATATAAGAAGACCGTGAAGCTGGTTTTTATATCGCATAGTTATTGAAAATCTCATTAATCGGCTTCCGGACGACAACATGTTAACAACGTGTATTTAGCATATGAAACGAAAGTGTGATCAAAATCGGAGAAACTAATTAACGAATAGGGACGTAATTATCGGCCATAAAATGTGTTACTGTTATGAAACTCGACATATTGCTTCACTGAAGAATCGTCAATTTACATTGCAAGATATAGAAGACAGATTATTGAGTGTATGCAATGTTCATTTCATCTCATTGTACCAAGAATTGGCAGCGTTCATTATAATGTTTCATTGTCTATTTCTTGTATCTACATTCATCTTTGTTCTCTGTATATACGCTGCAAATAATTTGTTTCGAAATTCATTACGTATGTGTCTATGTTTGTTCTGCCTTCTATTTTATTAGGATTTGTATAACGTACCAGTGATCTATAAGAAACTATTAGTTTCGTGGATAAAATCAGATCGCAAATTGTGTAAACGATAATCGTAACCGTCACAAACATAAATCTTTTCTCCTCTATTCACCTAGTTTCACAGTTTTTGACGTCTTACATAAATATATAGAGTATAAATACACTCTACTATATTTAGAAAACCATTACTGTCCAATTATATTTGTAAAATCAACAGGATTACACGGTATGTTATCATATTGACGCAACATTTAGCAATGATGTTGAATTATGATCATTTTGACTTTAAAGTAGACTTTTTATCTATTGTTAACCAAAAATTGATATATATATATGTTACTTAACTGTTATTATCCAATGATATTTATTAAAATCCACGAAATTACTACCATATTGAAGCAACGCTTACCACAAATGCTAAACTATGTTCATCGTTACTGAAATTCAGTCTACGAAAAACAAGAATTTACCATTCACTATCTTTTGCTAAAAACTGACGTTATATACAATACAAGAACTGTTGTCATCCACCTTATATATTCATATAAATCGACAACATTACACAGCGCATTATCATTAGACTGCGGAGCTTTACGTTGATTCTCATTCTTATACGTAATTTTACAAAAATTAGAACCGCAGGAGAGTTTTCTATATATTTTTAATATACAGGATGAGTCACAAATTAGTCCCTACAATTTTTCAGCCCCTTCCGATGGTCTGGCCAAACAATGTTTCCTATCAAAGTTAATTAGCATTTAGTTATTAGCATTAGCACAAAGTTATTAGCATTAGCATTTTTGAAAAAATTGCAATTATCAAAATTTAAAAACAAATTGATTTTCGATAAAAAAACAAGGTCACCGTTATATTTTTAAATGAAGCTATGTAATTTTAACTTCATAGTATTGTAGGCGACGTCGAGACGAATTCAACGGCCTGCTACATATGATGACCTACAGATGATATTGAAGGAAAAATTGCCATGAATCGATTGCTACAATATTTGGATTTATATAAACTTTTCTTTTGTTTTATGTGTTAAACTCTGAAATCGAAGAAATGAGCATCTAATAAAATATATAATTTCTATCTCATAAAATCTAATTGATCTAATAAAATGAGCAATTAACTAATTTCGATAGGAAACATATTTTGTCAGACTATCGGAAGGGGCTGAAAAATCGTGGGAAATATAATAATACTAATACTACTACTACTAATAATAATAATAATAATAAATAATAATAATAATAATAATACTCGTCCTGTATACCTTTTCTTGTACTTGAAAAATCTATTGGTGTGTCATCTATCTATATTGGTGTATCCGCACAAGGCAGCCATATTACACATATCTTTCCGTGGTCAGTAAAATTTGCGTTCGCGTCGAAATGAAAATTTTATCGGATTTCTGATTAGACGTTATAAGACAAAACCGGCGGCGCGGCGGCCGGCTTCCTGCCGCGGCGTAAGCTCGTTCTCGAAAGAAAATCGCCGTAGCGTAACCATAAACGATACGCGCGGTGTTCTCTTTATGCAACCGACTCACGGAAAGTTCCGAGCTTTTTTAAGCGGCACACTCATGCGAGCCTCCTCTTACGTGTATGCCGGCTGGCTGGGCGTGAACGCTCCATTTCCAATTTACGGTAGGCGCGAGTCGTCGCGAAAAGCGAGCGCGATACGTCGCGTCGCGACTCCAGCAGACGCTTCGCGCGTTTCCAACGACGAGTTTCGCAAGCTCGCCGGTCGTTAACCTTACGCGAAAATGGATAAGACTATGGCAACGACGCCGTCGCTCTTTATAGA